TTCCCTACAATCACAAATGAAAAGGTAGCCCTACTCCTCAATTATGCTAATTCTCTGAGTATGTCCTTGAACCCCCTCCAGATCCCCTCTTCCAGGTCTTGCCCCATCAACTGTCCCCACTCTCCTCCATATCTGTAATATCTCCTTCTCCACTCATTTAGTTTATAAGCATGCTCAGGGAATCTCAATAATAAATCAATATTAAAATACATAATCAAGGCTCTTCTTGATACCATACCATCTCTCTCCTTCCCTCTACCACTAAACTCCATGAAAAAGTTGTATATAGACCTCTACGACTGGTTCCTCTCCCACCCGTGCTCTTCCCTTTACAATCTGGTTTCCTTCCTTTCACACCACTCTATTGCAACTGATTTCTCAAATATCATTATTGATTGCCTTATGGCCAAATCCAATGGCATGTCTTGAGCCTTCATCTTCTTTGACATCTCTGAAGCATTTGTCACTATTGTACTCCTTTCTCCATGTTCTTTTCCCGCTTAGCTTCTTATGACACTATGTTCTCCTGATTCTCCTCCCACATCTCTAACCACCTCTTTGATGATTCTTTCAGTCAATTAAAAAGCATCTACTAAGTGCCAGGCAGGAAAGGCAGTATGGTATAGTGGATAGAGACTTGGCCTTGCAAAGAGGAAGATGAGGGCTCAAGTATTTCTTCTGACACATATTGGCTGTGCAAGTCACTTAATCTGTGTCTCAGTTCCCTCATCTATAAAATGAAGGTGTTGGACTTCATGGCCACTAAGGTGTCTTCCAGGGGCAGCTGGAGAGAAAACTGGGCTTGGAATCAAGAAGATTACTAATCTTCCTAAGTTCAGATCCCACCTCAGGCACTTAATATCTGTGTGACCCTGGGCAAATCACTTAACCCTCCTTGCCTCAGTTTCCTGGAGAAAGAAATGGCAAACCACTCCAGGATCTTTGCCAAGAAAACCCCAAATGGGGTCATGAAGAGTCAGACACGACTGAAAGGACTCAACAATAACAACAACAACAAAAGGTCCCTTTTGCCTCTAAGTTCATGATCCTATGAACCTCTGGCTGTGTGACCCTGGCCAAGTTACCTAACCTCTCAGTGCTCTAAGCAACTCTCTGAGGATCAAAGTTGCAAAGAAAATGTCAACCTGCATTGGTGAAGAGAACTTATTCATCCAGGAATTCCAAATGCCAAAGAAATCATAGAATCAGTCTCTATTCCTATCCCCTATATGTCAGAAATTGTACTATATGCTGAGAATACAAAGACAAAAGTGAAACAAGTTTCTCCCCTCAAGGAGTTTATAATCTAGCCAGAGTCAACAATGTTTTTTGTTGTTGTTCAGTAGTTTCAGTTGTGTCCGACTTTCCATGCCCCCATTCAGGGTTTCCTTGGCAAAGATCCTAGAGGGTTTTGCCATTTCCTTCTCCAGATCATTTGACAGATGAGGAAACTGAGGCAAATAGGGTTAAATGATTGCCCAACAACAACCACAACAAAAATTTCCTGATGCCTTAAGGTGGGTGTCCCCTAATGTCATGTCATTGACCTGTTGTTGTTGTTGTTTTTTCTGTACTACATATACTTTCGTCCTATTCAGTCTATTTACTAGCCTGGCACAGTTTCAACAATAGTACCAGGTAGATGACTCACAAATCTATATGTCTAGTTTTGACCTTTCTCCCAAGCTCCAGACCCACATCTCCAACTGCCCATAGGATGCCTCAACAAGCCATCAAACTCAGCATCCTCTTTGAAGGGTGAATTTCCTTGAGGGCAGGATTTTCTCACTTTGGCATTTATATCATCAGTTCCTAGCCCAGAGTACATTAGATGCTTAATAAAAGGTAAGGGATTGATTGGAACATATCCAAATGCAAATTTGTTCCCTTTCCCCAAAAACCTCCACTTTCTACTGATTCAGCCAGATCCTGATGTTATAGACCTTGGTGGTTGTTATCGATCCTTTCCGCTCCCCCTTACTGCTTATATCTAATCAGTTGCCACATGCTGTAGATTTTACTTCCCCAATGTTTCTCATGCTCTTCTTTTCCAATTCCCACAGCTACCACACTAGCATAATTCCCCCTGACCACCCTTCTGAACTATTGCAGCAGCTTCCAACCAAACCATCCTTCACGTCTCAGCTAGACTTGACGCCTTATATGTAGGTTTGACCAAACCCTTCAATGGTGCCGCCTACCTTTCCATCCTTCTCTCCTGCCATTCTTTAGCCTTAACTATGCTTCAGCCAAATTGGACTACTCACTGTCCTAATTTCGTGACCCATATTTTCCCACTGCCAAGCCTTTATTCACAATCTGTGGAATAGTGGATAGAGTACTGGACTTGGAATCAGGAAGATCTGGGTTCAAATCCAGCCATGGACAGTTATTAGCTATGAAAGCCTGAGCAGGTCACTTAACTTCATTCAGCCTCAGTCTCTTCAAGTATAAAATGAGGGAATTTGACTTGTTGATTTCTAAGATTCCTTCTAGCTCTAAATCTATGAACCTATGAACCTGAAATTCTCTCCCCTTCTCTCCACCCTCCATCCCAACCCTATTGAATTCCTATACAACTTTTAAGCCTGACTCAAATGCTTCCTCTAGGAAGCTTTCATGGCCATGAAGTCCAATCCCCTTATTTTACAGATGAGGGAACTGAGACATAGAAAGATTAAGTGACTTGCATAACTAGTATGTATCAGAAGAAATACTTGAGCCCAGATTTTCCTCTTTGCAAGGTCAGGTCTCTAACTACTCTACCACACTGCCCTTTTGGCCTGGCACTTAGTAGGTGCTTCTTAATTAGTCAATTGACTGAAAGAACCATCAGAGACAAAAAAGAGGTGGTTAGAGAAGTAGGAGGCGAACCAGGAGAGTATGATGTCAAAAGAAGCTGAGGGAGAAGAGAATATGGAGAAAGGAGTACAATAGTGAGAAATGCTTCCATTGGTAATAACTCTCCCTACCTTAGACTTTTCATTGCACTTTGTCTGTGTCTCTCTAATGTGCTTATCGTGTTTTATTTTGTGTTATAGGTCTCTGTGTATGAATCAGACCAGGATTAAAGATCTTTAGTGGCTCTCCACTGCCTCCAGAAAAAAATCTAAACTCCTCAACCCTCCACGATTTGGCTCCAACCTACTTTCAAATCACCCTTCTGTTGCAAATTACACCCCACTTCCATGCACTCTGTATTCCAGCCAGCCAGGACTGATTAATTGCTCCCTGAATTCAATATTCCACTTCTAGTCTCCAGGCCTTCTTCACACAGTCTAGTCTCCATATCTAAATAAGCCATCTCTAGCTGTGTGACCCTGGGCAAGTCACTTTCTATCTGCCTCCCTTTCCTCATCTGTCAAATAGGGATAATAGTAGCATCTACCTTCCAGGTAGGACGTTACGAAGCTAAACTGAAGTAATATTTGTAAAGTGCTTTGCAAACTTTGAAGCATTATATAAATTATTGTTATTATTATCTCCTTCATGACGCTTCTCCTGATGTACTTTATTTGTACTATCTGTATGACCTTGAGCAAGTCACTTCATGTTCCTGGTCCTCATTTTCTTTATTTATAAAATGAGGAGGTTGGATTAGATGACTTCTGACGCCTCCTTTTTTAGGTCTGTATCTATGATCCAGTTATCTTCAAATTATCTTGTATTTACTTATCCATGCACACGTTATATCTGTACCACTCTCCCACCCCCGTAGACTGGGATTGTTTTGGGTTTTGTACCTCCCACAGAATAGGCCTTTAATATTTTAAAATCAATTAATGAATTGTTATTTTTAATTAATAAATTATTTTTAAAAATTGAATTGAGTTGAATTGAAACCTCAGGGTGGTTAAAATATTTGTCCAAGGTTACTCTAAAGCTAGTAAGTTGGGTTGTTTTGGTGTTTTGTTTTGTTTTTGTCTTTTCGTCTCCTTTATTTCTGGGAAAAAGAAACTTCTACTGCCTTTTAGTCAATCAATCAACAACCAGCTAGTAAGTTGTGGAGAAAGAACCTGAATAGGGATCTCTTGACTCCCTGTCTTGTATCCCAGACTCCATTACACTGCATTCTGCATCTCCCCCCTGCATTCAGCACAAAAGAGTCACTCAGAAGCTCATGATGCTCGCTCACATTTATATGAATTTTGTAGTTTCTCGATGCCTTCTACATATCGTTTGATTCTCACCACAGCCTTTTGGGGTAGGCAGAGGAGATAGTGTTATCCCAATCTTACAGATAAAGAAACTTAGGCTCAGAAGTTATTTTACTTGCCCAAGACTGTATAGCTAGAAAGGGGAGAAGCTAGGCCTTGACCTCGAGGCAGCTAGGTGGCACCACAGTGCACAGAGCAAAGGGCCTGGAGTCAGGAAGACTCATCTCTCCGAGTTCAAATCGGGCCTCAGACACTTCCTAGCTGTGTGACCCTGGGCAAGTCACTTAACCCTGTTTGCCTCAGTTTCCTCATCTAGAAAATGAGCTGGAGAAGGAAATGGCAAAGCACTCCAGTATCTCTGCCAGGAAAACCCCAAATGGGGTCATGAAGAGTCAGATAGGACTGAAACAACTTGACAATAACAACAGGTCTTGACCAGGGGGTCTTAACTTTTTTTGTGTCACAGACACCCTAGACAGTCTGGTGAACCTGTAGACCCCTCTCGGAATCATGTTTTCAAATGAATCAAATAAAATATATAGGATTACAAAAGAAACCAATCATAGTGAAAATAAAGATGTAATTTTTTTTTTCCCGTTCTAAGTTCATTTGAAGGACCCAGGCTAAGAATCCCTGGTCTAGAAGCAAGACTTCCTGAATCCCAGTTGTTTCCCCTTCCATTCTATTGTGTGGGAAGGAGGTAAGAGCAGGATAAATAAAATTATTCAGGTGTAGGTGGAAAGAAGTCAGCCAACCCCCAGCACCCCCCTCCCCCCAAAACAGGGTAGAAAGGAAAGGGGAAGGAAAATGGAGAGGAAGAGGAAGGGACCTTTCCATCTGTACCTGTTCATGATACTCGATGCCCATGCTGAGGGTATTGATAAGGATAGCTATCATAATCCCACGGCCAAAGTATTTGCTGTCCACAATCTTCCGAAAAGTCTCACAGACCAGCGTCCAGAAGGCCATCAAGGTGCTGGGCTCTTGGCCCTGGCCCTGGCTTGCCCCCCAGTGGGGGTCCCGGTGGTCACCATGCTGGGTATCCTGTGTGAACTCATAGATGCCCTCACTATCTGAGTCAAGCAGCTCTGGGTCCATCAGCTCAGCTTCTCCCGCCTGTGTTGGAGTACAGTAGGGACAGTTATCTGGGCCAGAGGCCCCATTATCTGCCTTCCCACAGGGGCTGGAAATCCTGCAGGAGCCTTGACAGGAACCTAGAACACAGGAGGTCAGAAGTCAGAGAGCTGTCCCTTGGACCAGGAGCCCAACTTTTGTAACCACATTAATAAAAAAAGAAATAAAAGAACCCCAGAAATAGACAGCTATTATGAGGCACAGATGGTCTCAAGTCTTCTGGAATCTTAAAAGATTGGAGCTGGATGGGGCATTGCAGACCCTACCATCAGTTCTCTCAATTACAGAAGAGGAAACTGAGGCTGAGAGAAAAGAAGGGACTTGGCCAGGGTCACACAGCTAATTTGTGGCAGAGTCAGGTCTCCTGACTCCTAGTCTAATGTTCTTTCCAACATACCATGCATCATCAACTTCTCAATTCCTCCCGCCCTTGTGACTTATTAGAATATGAAAATCAGGCGAAAAAACTATTTTAACAGAATTAGGCAATATCAGGGCAATGGAATGCTGACTATAGCATTTGGTTTATGAAGAGTATCTCTGTCTTATTTGTTTAGTTTACAGTGAAGATGACTCTCTATTGCACCATCCATGTTTGTTGATTTGTTTTGTGTTTGTTTGTTTTTGCTGAAGCCTAGGTTAAGCTGTTCAGGAAGGAGGTTCTTGGTTCCACCTTTGCCAGCAGATGAAAACCCTCCATTGTTGTCTCAACCCCATCCCAGCTGATGCCTGAATATCTTTCTCTTGGACTCAAGGGTGTGGGGTTAGAAAGAGCAACTTGGTCATTAAGGAGAAGACAAAAGGAAAGGAAGGAAGGAAGGAAAGAAGGAAGGAGGAAGGGAGGGAAGAAAGGAGAGAGGGAGGAAAGAAGAAAATAAAGAAGGAAGGAAGGAGAAAGGAGGGAATGAAGAAAGGAAGGGAGGAAAGAAGGAATGAGAAAAGAAGGAAGGAAAGAAGGAACGAGGGAAAGAGGGAGGAAGGGAGAAAGGGAGGAGAGAAAGAAAGAAGGAAGAAAGGAAGGAGGAAGGAAGGAAGGAAGAAAGAAAGGAAGGGAGGAAGGAAGGAGGGAGAAAAGAAGGAAGGAAGGGGGAAGGGAGGGAGGGAGGGAACAAGTATTTATTTAACACTTACTATCTGCCAGGCACTGTGCCTAGTGCTTTACAAATATTATCTCATTTGATCCTCACAACAACCCTGGGAAGTAGGTGCTATAATTATCCACATTTTACACAGTTGAGAAAACTGAGGCAAATATAGAATAAATGACTTGACCAGGATTATACAATTAGTAAAAGTATTTGAACTCGGTTTTTCTTGACTCCAGGACCAGTGTTCTATCCACTGTACCACCTAGCTTCCTCCTAAAGATAAACAGTAGGCTGATCTTGCTTGTAATTATATCCCCTGGATTACCCTGGATTATGCAAGTCTAAGGATGCAGTATCAAAAGCCCCTTCCTTTAGGAGGAGAGTATTTCTGGGGCCCACAGATCAGAAGCTCCTCAGCCTGGATGCCTGACAACATTTACATATCTCATTATCAGAGCGATGAATGGAAATGGTCAGCTCTATGCCTGGTTTTTGCCAAATGGGCGTTGGATCACTGGCCATGTCACTAAGAGATAGACAAGCAGAAGGGGCCATCTAGCACAAAATGCCTCCTCTAGTAAGCTTCCCTGATTACTCCTTTGTCTTCCCTTAGCATTTGAAAGATGCAGCTTTAGGCCAGTAGAGACCTTTAGCAACCACCTCATTTTACAGATGAGGAAATGGAGGCCCAGAGAGGAGAGCTCACTTGCACGAGATCCCACAGGGAGGTAGTAAGCAGTAATGCTGGAATTCTAACACAGGTCCTCTGGTTTGAAATCCATTGGTCTTTCCACTAAACACACCCAATTTGCGTGGCAGCTATTAATTCATGCTTGTTTACATAGCATCTCGATTTATAACTTTTAAGTCTATGTCCTCTGCATATGTTCTTCTTCCCCTATCGGATGGAGAGTCTCTGAGGGAAGGAAAGGCATTTCCTCCATCATCCTGAGTAATCCCAAAGTGTAGGGACAAAGCTTCTTCCATCAATCAGGCTAGACAGTCCCTTTTCTCTGTCTCCACCATCAGAACCCTGCACCAAAGGTTATTTCAAAGACATACCCAACCCCCAGTCAGCCCCACCTCCAAAGTGCTTACCTGTGCTTTGTGTCTCCAGCAGCTTGTGCATGGAACTGTAAGGTCCAGGTGGGATGTTGAGGTTGGTGAGAGTGGGGGGCCCAGAGACAGGGGTTGCCTCCACCAATGCCTTTTCCTTTAGCACCTTGGGTGGGGATCTGGAGTGCATGGTGGGGTATACCTTTCCTCCACCTGCATTCCTACCCGGACCCTCAGGAGAGGACCTGGGAGAGGCTGCTTGGCAGCGCAGGGGTTCTAGGTGGCAGTCAGCATGGTAGAAGCTATGGACAGATTCAGAACCCCCAGGAGACCCCCCAGGATGGGCACAGGTAGGAGGCGGAGGCAGCATGAGCCGACGGGTCTCGTTGGCATCACCATTACCACTTGGGCAATGGGACCCTGAGAGCTCCACATGCCAACCCAGAGATCGGTGATGGTGGTGGTGGTGAACCAGGTGATGAATGGATGGGCGATGACGGCGGGAACGGGGGCAACTCCCGCTTCTGGCGGGCTGGGTCTCAGAAACTCCTCGGCCACCAGGACTGGCTAGGAGGCCAGCTCGGGCCCCTACCACCCTGGAGGCCTGGGCCAGTCTCCGGGCAGCCTTCCGGAGAATGTACACCAGGTACTTGAGCAGCTCCTCATAACAGCTGCCCGGTTCAGAGAAGCTGGCCAACGTGCTGGCATTGGACAGGAATCGAACCCGCTGCTCCTTCATTAGCTGACTCTCTCTCTGCTTAGTCTCTGAGAACTGTGTGGCAATCACCACCAGGCAGAGGTTGATCATGAAGAAGGAGCCCACCTGTTGGGGAGGAGGTTTCAGAGGAGAGTAGAAATCATAGTATCAGGGCTTAGAGCTAAAAGGGGCACAGGGGGGGAACAAACATTTATACAGAGCCTACTATGTGCCACGCACTACACTAAGTGCTCAGTTTTTTTTTAAACACATATTATTTCATTTGATCCTCACAACAACCTTGTGAAATAGGGGCTATTATTATTCCCCATTTTACAATTAAAGAAACTGAGGCAAACAGATATTAAGTGACTCGCCCAGGATCACAGAGCTATCTGAGACCAGATTTGAACTCAGGTCTTCCTGATTCCAGGCCCAGCTCTTCATCAACTGTGCCACCATAGGAGACCTTCTAGTCCAATCCAGATGAACAAATTGAGACTAAGAAGAATTAAATGTCTGGCCCAAGGTCACGAATAGTAGAGCCAGGATTTAAATCCTCCCACTCTGAATTCAATGTTCTTTTCACCACATCAAAGGGAATAAAAAGGGAGGAGGGAAGAAATAGAAGGGATGAGTTATGGGAAGGGGGAAAGCATGAATTTAGTGACCCTCCCAGGGTTAGGCTGGGGAGGAGGAGATATGGTGGAACAACATGGAATCAGACAACCATAGCATTTCCAAGTTGGGTGGGACCCTAGAGATTAGCTATAGAACAAGACACATCCCTGGGTGATGGGGAGAGGGCTGAGGAACAGGGCAGCTAGTGGGGATGGAGAAGGGTGACTAAAAATGCCAGAATCCCATCTCCCTTTCTTTTCCTAGGCTGGCCTGGGACTGCCCACCACAGGTCCCATGAGTCCTACTCCAAGATCTGCCATGTCTCACCTGGGCCATAACCAGCCAATGCCACTGATACATCAGTTTTCCTATCTCACGCCCCTCCCATTCATGCCTCAGTTTCACCAGAAATCTGGGATGGCCACAACTGGGAAAACTACTCAGAATGAAGGACATGAATATTCATGATGACAAAGCAGATTTTTCTCCCCAGAGTCTGTCCTGATAATTATTATAATTAGCCTCATTAATGTATTTCAGGGCACTGTTTTGAGAGAGTTGTCATGGGTAGGTGTGGGAGAATAGAAACTGGTTCCCCCACCTGTCTGCCCAACCTCCCTCACCTAGACCCTTTCCTCCGCCAATCTTCAACCTCGAACAATCACAAAATTATGGAATAGTGTGAAACATTTCTTCCTTTTCATTGTGACCTCTTTTCTCAGAAAGAAGACAACAATTAAATTGGCCCCAGTGGTCAGATGTCTCTGGCCAGGCTGGGCAACTCTTCTGTATACTTGACAGAGCTGAGGGAAGGAAAGATTATCCTCTAGGGTGTCTTCTCCTGATCTGTCCCTGTCTCTATTCTACCTGTCTATGTTTGTCACACTAGCTCTCTCTCTCTGTCTCAGTTTTCTTTTTTTCTGGGGCTTGTCTGGGATATTAAGAATGGTGTCTATGTTTCTGCCTTTCTCTGTATTTATCTGTCCTCTGTCTTTCTCTGCAGAAGGAGTTCTTGACCTGGAGTCCATGGACCCTCTCCTTGACCCTGCCAAGGTGTTCATAGATAGATTTTAGAGAGCACCTCAACTTGGATGGAGGAAAATGACACCTTTATTTTCATTGACATCTGACTGAAATTTAACATTTCCTCTAATTATAAATGTAGGCAACAAACTATATGCTGCAAAGGGATCCATAGGCTTCATTAGACTGACAGTGAGGAGCACAATCCAAAAAAAGTTTAGAATCTCTGCACTGGAGCTTATCCTAAGAGCTGGGGGATGGGAGGATTCAGAGGGAGTGACCCTTCCTTTCTAGGAAAGACTGGCAAGTCTCCTGCCCAACCTGTTCCTTACCTCTTCTCCCAAGGACTACCCAATCCCAGGACCCACGCCTTCCCATCCCAACCAGAGGAGCCACTCACAATGATGAGAAGAATGAAGTAGATGAAGTTGTAGAAGGAATGAGCATCCATCACAAAGTACATGATGTCTACCCAGCCCTCGAGCGTGATGACCTGGAGAAGATGAAGAGGCCTCGAGTCATCTCTTGGGAGCTCACGCTATGTGGAGGGGAGCATGGGGAGGGAGACTCACTGAGATGAGTGTGGTCCACACACAGTCTGGAGTCATCTTTGTAGGGGTCTATACCCACAACCCCAAGAAGACCCCTCTGAGCTAGGATCTGAGTCCTGGGGCCTTAATTCAGGGGGCATCTTAGGGGTCTGAGGTTCTTGAATCCAGGTCCCCATGCTGCCCATTTATACACACACACACCTGGAAGATGGCGATCCAGGCATAGCCGATATTGTCGAAGTTGATGGCTCCCTTGAAGGGGTTGTGCTCACCAGCGGAGCAGTTGGTATAATACTGGTTCCAGTTGACACAGGTAGTATTACTAGAGCTGTTGTAGGCGTCATAGTCAAGGCCACAAGGAGGGCCACCACCCCCTTCTCCTCGAAGCGTGGGGACGCTTCGACAGGAACGCATCCCATTCTCCCGAGGTTGGGAGCAGATGAAAGGGCTCTCGTCCTCATTCTCAGTCTGATAGTAGCGTTCTAGGTCCACACTCAGAGGGCTGTGGGGTGGGGAGGGAGTCAGGGATGAGGCTAGGGGAGTGGGGAAGGGTGTCAGAGGTAAAACCCAAGGTGGGAGCACAAGAGAGTAAGATGCAGGGGGAAGGGGGACAGGGATGGAAGGGCAAGTGAACAGGGGATGATATGGTGGAGGGCAAGGAGCAGGAAGGCAGGGAAATGGAGTAAGGGGAAGTGGGACATATAAGCAGCAGGAAAATAGGTATGGGCTGGTAGACAGGGAGCATGGTAGCAAGGATAGGGGAGGATAGCCTAGAGTTGGTGTGTGAAGGGCTATCCTAGGGATTAGGGTGAGAAATATCAAGAAAAAAAATTGGGGATCTGGAAGCTAGTAGAAACAGGGAGTGAGGATGTGCAGGAAGAAAAGATGACCTAACCCCAAGTCCCAAAGAGTCTCCCCCTACCATCTCCCAGGTACCCTAACCATCCCTATACTCACATGCTGAAATTCTCTGGAAGGAAGCATCGGTTTCGAAGGAGCCCAGCCCAGAGCTGAACCCCAACAATGCCAAAGATGAAGAAGACGAAGAAACAGAGAAGGAGGACATTGCCCAACATGGGCAAGGTGTCTAGCAGCAAAGTGACCAGGATTCGCATACCTAGAGGGTGGGCAGAGGCTGCACTGTGGGGGCAGAAAGGGGGGAGGCAGCAGAGAGGCCCCAGAATTGGTGCAGTAGGTTAAGCATCCAGAGACAGAATTTAATCAAGGACTTCCTAGGACAGTCCAATCCAGCCTGCCTTGGGCTGAGGGGACTCTGAGGGGAAAAGGGTTGGGGGCCCATTTCTTTTTCTTTTGGGGGAGAGGAAGGGAACAAATAGTTATTAAGTGTCTGCTATGTGCCAAGCACTTTGCTAAGTGCTTTACAAATATTTTCTCACCTGATCCTCACAACAACCCTGCAAAGCATGTACTATTATTATCCCAATTTTATAATTGAGGAAACTGAGGTAGACAGTGGTTAAATGATTTCTCCAGGGTCACATATCTAGTAAGTGTCTGAGGCTAGATTTGAACTTGGGTCTGTTTGACTCCAGGCCTAGCCTCTATCTACTGTACCACCTAGCTAGAACAATAGACAAATGATTCATGATTACTTTTCATCTGGGGCTCTCTTTAGACCCTAAAATTCCTTCCTTCCCCTCTAAGTCTCCTTACTTGCCAAGATAATAAACGCCACCCATTCCTCTTCTCCCCTTCACTGTCAGAATTGTCTGGCCATTCCAAATGTCTCTGAGTTGGATCACCAGGGAAACAGAGGCAGAAAGCAAGGTAGGATGGCAGCTTGCTGGACTACCACCATCTCTATGCTGCCCATAACTGCCTAAACCAAACCTGCCCCAGTATCTCCTCTCTCTTTCCTTCCAGATTTCGGCCCTTCATTCCCAGAATACACCCCTTCTCCCCTTTAGAATCCACTAATTTGGAGTCCTAATCTTGTGATCAGGATGAATCAATGGAGACGTAAACCTGACATTCACAGAAATTGATCTAAGACTGACATTTCCTCTGCTATTCTCCCTCCCCTAAATCATTGATCTCTCTGACTCTCACGCACCCCATTAAAGGAAGGCTTTCCTCTCTTCTTCTTGCAGTTTTATGACTCAATCAGACTGCTTTTGTATATGGTCTGAATCTGCCCTGACCCTTCCTTAAGTCCCTTCCTTACTGCCCAGACCTCTTTTAGAAGAGTTAGGCCTCCTGTGTTTCCCTCTCCACAAACAATTAACAGAATTGGTCTATCCGTGTGACTGCAGCCAGCCTCCCCTGCACAACATCTTACCACCCCCCCGCCCCAGGCTTCTTCGTTGCCTCCCCCCTTTCCCAAATCCACCGCACAGCAGCAGAGATCAATTCTTCAGGGTTTGCATTAAGGGAATTACACTGGTGGTTAGACAGAGGCCAGTAAATCAGCCATCCGTCACTTGAGGTGGGGGTGAAAGTGGGGGATGCTACACCCTAGATGTCTGGAGCTACTGTTAACACCTACACAGCAGAACACCTGGAGACACGTTTAACATTTGACTCCCCTGAGGCACTTAACATCGAATCATCCAGAGAAACACTGGCGCACACACACACACACACACACAGTGTCACATGCAGCTGTCATCGCTCAGACACACACCAGGACTCTGACACAACCATCTAGAAGCACAGCTGACCAACCCTGCCCCACCCCCACCTCCTCTCCCACCCAGTACAGCAAGGCCCATCTATGTACTGGTTCACCTATATAGGGGCCCAGGATCTGGACTCTGGAGCTATGTTGGGGGATGGAGAAGTTCAAGGGGGAAGGCAGTGAGTTGAGGCTGCCAAAGCTGCTCTGGCTCCATATTCCAAAGCTTCGCCATCTCTGGTTTAATTTAGATAATGGCTCTAGTGAATGTTCCAAATGGGGTGAGGGAGGAGGAAGAAAGCCACAGGCAAAGGGGACTACCACTGGGGAACTAAAGGAAAGTCATAGGCAAGGGGTGGGGGTGGGATTCAAGAGCAACCCAGACTGGGGACTGCTGCTATAGCTTTGTACCTTATCCCCTTCCAAGCTTATGAGGCATGGAGAAGGAAAAAGGGGAAAGGGAGAGCAGTGCATCTTCTTGAAATTGACCCAAAAATCTGGAGGAGAAGTATTGCTCTAAACCTTAATGAAATAAAGAACAGTCTGGTAGAGATTCCCACATGTTCTCTATACCCCCACCTCCTGTCCTAGCACTTCCATTGTCCTACTCTCTCTCTCTCTCTCTCTCTCTCTCTCTCTCTCTCAGATCACTACTTCCCAAGAGATCAGTTGTCACAGCCCCAGAGGCAGATTTCAAGTTCTATTACAGCCTTACTGAATCCCTTTGATTTGTCCCCAACAGACACACATACACCCACAGTTGCTCCTGTCTCCATCCCTCCCCTCCACCTCCACCCCGTCCCAACCATCTTCTCGAATAACGGGGAAGGTCCTTTTGGGGGAGGAGGAGGGAGAGGGGGTGCATTTCTTCTTCTTCCCACTTGCCCAAGGGAGAGGATCACTCACTGGGAACTCGGTTAATGGCTCGAAGAGGCCGTAACACTCTGACAGTCCGAACAGCAGAGAAACTGACATTCTGAAGGTCCAGGGAGTATTCAAGCATCCTGTAGGAGAAAGGCCAATATTCAGGGGACACCGAGAGATCAGAATACTGAAGTCCGCTGGGAGTTCAGACAAAGGCAAAGGTTAGAATCATAAAACGACAGAGCTAAAAGTGACTTGAGAGATTAGCTAGTGCAACTCTTCTTGTTTTACGGATGAGGGAATAGAGGCACAGAGCGATAAAGAGACTTGACCAATGTAGCACAACGGTGGTGGCTCTGGGCCCAGAATCATCCTCTCCTGCCTCTTAGAATGGTGCTTTTCCCGCTACACAAGTAGCTAGAAACAATACAGGGCTCAATGCCCTCCCCCCTCAAGGGACTCAGAGAGGTTATTTCTCTCTTTGGATAAGATGACAACTATGGTGCCATCCCAAATTAACATTCGTGATTGGTTAGGGATAAAACAGTCCCAAAGCTGAGGATCCATGTAATGACAAGAGATAGGACCTGTGATTTCACTGGCACAGGGAAGTTGCTCCATCATTGTAGGTTGACACCTTGCCTGCAATTCGTAGTCTTATGGAGTTTCATAGAACACTAAGAGGTTAAGTGACTTTGCCCAGTGTCACACAGTCAGGATAAGTCAGAGTCAGGACTTGAACTCAGATCTTCCTGGCTAGGAGGACAGCTCCCCATCTACTAAGTCATACTGCTCCTTTTAAATTTTTTTTTTTATTTTTAGGATAAACATATACAGAGAGAAACTTAGAGCCCTGGGGCAGGAATGTGATTCCTTGGTGACATCCCCATTACTCCAGCCTGGCCTGTAGGTGTGAAGTGATGCTTCCATATCACTCTCAGGATGGAAAATCACTAAATCAAGTTGAAGAGACAAGGGGGAGAAAGGGACAAGGGATGTAGTTCACCCCAGACTCTGGGACTGGGAAGAATATCAGCAAACAGGAGGAGCTACTTCATCAATTGGCCTTGAACCTGGGAAGCAGAAGAACAGAGTTTCTAGAACGCCTGACACTCACCCTGCAATGACGATGAAAAAGTCCAGTCGGTTCCAGGTGTCTCCCAAGTAACACTTCTTTCCGAAGATGCCCAAGGCAACCATCTTCACCACCATCTCCACAGCGAAGAAGGCGAAGATGAAGTCGTCAAAGGCCTGAGAGTGGGGAGGGGGCTGGGATCAACTCTGAATGGGGAAGGGCTAGAACTAAGGAGAGGCCACAGTGGTGGAGAGGAGGCCTGCTCCCGGAGGGGCAATGGTGCTGCGGGATCGGGGGGACTGTGGTGCACACAGAGCAGAAATTTGGAACTTAGGTACTGACCTCCCCAATGCTCCTGTGACCTCGGGCCCCCTCCCCACCGCTAACACACCTGCAAGATCCGGCAGCGCTGGGAGTCGCAGGCGATGTCCTCGCACGGCTGAAACATGCCCAGCGTCACGCAGTTCAGCAGGATAACCAGCATGCTGACCCGTTCGAACCAGGTTCGGTAGGGGTCAAGGTCACAACGGGGCACGGGTGTGAGTTTAACTCTTCACCCCCCTACATCCTCTCTCTGTGCTACCCATCCACCCATCCACTCCTGCCTATGTATGTGAGAGAGAGAAAATCCAAGTGGCTACCTGGCAGAAAGATGTGGGACAGGAAAAGACAGACCTACTATGGAGAAAACCCGGTCTAGTTGGACAGATGGTCTGAGATATGGGCCAGCGGAGACCTCACTGAGTGCTCGAGATTCTAGATCCAGCCCAGCCCAGTCCTACCTCTGCCCCCTATGCCTGGTGGAGCCATCTCGAGGAGTGGGGAGTCGTGGGGTTACAGGCCCAGACAGACTCCTGCCCTCAGGCACGGACAGCGAACAGACCCCACACACATAATTATGCACAGTCACACACTCCATCAGACTCTCCTGCGCCCTGCCTGACATAAGGCACAGCGTGGGCCCAGTGGACCGTCACTGGGGACAGGCTCTTGGAGGCTGGGGAATGGCTGGGTGTCTTTCCCACATTGCTGAATCCTCCTCTTTGCCCTCCAGGCTCAGACTGAGGGAAGGGCTGTCCTGTGAAGCAGGAGAAGTCTGGAATGACCTCTGCAAGGTTGAGTAATTCTACCCCCAGAAACGAAGAAAGCGATGCGACTCGAACCCCAAACCTCAGAGATCCTTTTTTGCCATTTTTAAAACGTGAAATGTCTCTGTCCTTGGAGAATAGAGAAGAGGCCGAGGTGAGGGACATAGAGAGTAGAGGTTGGGAGAAGTGAAGGAGGATGAAATAGACCCTCAGAGAGGCGGGGTTGGAGATCTCTCCCCACCGATGTTCAGAGCTGCGCAAAGTGCGCCCTTTGAGGGCTAGAACCGGTTCCCCGACGGTGAAGCTGTGCATAATAATCAGTGGTGGAGAAGGAGGCGACAGCATTTGGCTAAGCAGTTCTATTAGGCAGACCACTCTTCCAAGCTTAGCCCTAGCATTCAGTAATATTTCACGTTCCTCCCTACCCTAAATTCTGGGTGCAGCTCAGATCCTGTGCCTATCCAGGTTCTGCAGGTCCTCTTCCCTCTCTTCCAGCCTCCAATCCCCAAACCTCTGGCACCTGCAATGCCCCTTCCCATCTGTGCCCAAACAATAATGATTTTCCAATAGTTAACTGTCAGAAGATGAGGGGTTGGGGGAAACAGGCGGTGAGGAAAAGACGGAAAAGAGTGCTCTGTTTCCATGGAACCATTTCTTTGAGTAAAGCTGAAGCTGGTGGATCTCTCCCCAGAGCAGGGGTCAGCCAGAGTTCATGGGGCGGGAGAGGGGGTGCTGAGGCGCGGGGTGCAGGGTGAGCTGCCAGGCTTCCTAGAAGCTCTGGGCTCCCGATTTCCCTTCGCCCCCACGCCTGTTCAACCTCTCCTCGGAGTCTTCTGGGAAGGAGGTCAGAGCCCAGAAGAGCTGTCACACCCTTCTTTCCCTGGGACTGTCCCCTCTTCTGCCCTACACAGGAGGTGGTCCTCCCCTATGGCTTTCCCCAGGAGGGTGAGGGTGGAAGCAAGAATTCAAAGTGAAGGCTTCTCAGCTAGGAAAGAGGGTGTGGGAGTGCCTTGGGAAGCCCAACCAGGGTTTACCTGAATGAGAGTGGGTGGGTGGCTCTGTTTGGAAGAGGAGCCGGATGGAGCAGATAACACACACACAGCTTGGCAGGATGACTCCCATAGCACTTTGCTCATGCTTCTCTTACAACATTGGCCATACTCTGCCTGTAGTATAATTATATGTGTTCCTGTCTCGTTTTCCCTACTTAGAGTTTAAACTCCTAGAGGGCAGGGATCTTGTCTTACTTTTCTTTGTACCTCACCCACCCCCACCCCCACAGTACCTTGTGCAGAATAAATTCAAGTATCAATGGTTTGCTGAATGAATAAATTCCCCCTTCATACACCCACTGGAGACCAGAAATGGTCTCCCACTTCAAGGTTTCCCTCCTCCTCCTTACAGTGGTGATGAGCAAACAATTGTGTTTCCCAGGCTGGGATGGAGATAGGATGGGTGGGAAGTAAGACCATCAAAAGAGTTTCTCCCAACCAACTCCCAAAAGTTGTTGGACAGGAGGGTGCTTCCAGACCCAGTAATTGGGATAACTTACTTGCCTCCAGCTTGAGCCAGGAGAGTCTCACCTTTTAGGAAACAACCAGAAGCAATGTGAGGCACCAGACTCTTGAAGAAGAGGGTGATTATGGGATGCAGACTATCTCTCTCTCATCCGCTGGAGCCTAGTGTTATGACTGGGGAGGGGTAGGGAAGGAGCTTAGTGAGATCCATGAACCTATATCAGTGATCACTAAGGTTCCTTCTAGCTCTAAATCTAAAATTGTATGAGTGCTAACACACACACACTAACACACACATTTTCACGACCCGAAAGGTGTGAACATTTATGGGGGAAGTGTAAGGAGAAGAAGCAAGGACAGTGCTGTCTGTCCTCTGTGGAGCTCCCCTTCCCCCCAAAAGAAACTGAGGCAGGGGCCTGACATAGACTAGAGGTCCCCCTTCCCTCAGCCACACACAGAACATAGAGTATTTAAGTTTCAAGGGACCTCACTCAGAATCTTCACTTGACAGATAAGGAAAATGAGGCCAAAGAAAGGAAATGACCTGTTCAAGATCATTCAACTATGGAAACATCTTCTAAAGTGTCTCCTGAGGCCCAACCAGAAGGCATCTTCAGAAAGCTTCTATCCCCTTTTCTGTTTCATCCTCTCCCACTTGACTAGCCCCAGATTCACAGAAGTAAGCAGAAGAGAAATTGAGGCACCAGGAAATTGGAGTTGGAATATGTTTTATTGTCCCCAGGTCAGTATAACCACTGACTGGACTGAACCCAACAATGCTGGACTCCTAGTTGGGTGTCCTTCTTTCCCCCATCCCAGGGTGGGGCTCATTTCCATAGGAACAGAGCTCCATGTCACTGTGTGATGTTCCTTTTGTTGCCATAGCAATAATAGGATGTGTCTAGGTTGGTGTTGATTTGTTGTCATGGTAACTGAGGTGACCCCCTTCCCCTAAGGCTGCTCTCCAATTCTCTAGTGGGGAAGGAAAAGTAGGAAGGAGGGGGGGAACACAGGTTGCCAGGTGGGGAGGGGGGAAGAAACCATGTGATATATCCTATGGCAACCAAGAGAACAGGGGACACTGGTTGCCATAGTGACTGAGAGAGACCTGTGCAGTCACGTGGCCACTGTTGCCATGGTGACTCTCCAGGCTGGAGTGGCTCCGAAAGGAGGGGGGAAGGGAAACTGGAGGAGCACTCTCCTTCACACCGTAGGTCCAGCCCCCCTCCTCCCCACAATCTAGAGGAAGAAAGCAGAGGCAGGAGAAACACCTCATTTCCATCCTCCTTTCATGGAAGAGCCTTCTCACAGGGTATTTGAACTCATCCTAAATAACCTTACCTTGGCCAACCACTAGGGGAAAAGGATGAGAAGAGCAGGACACAAGAAGGAGAGAGCCCCCGGGGTTCTGGCAACTTCAATAATCACGTGGGAACAAAAGCTACCCAACCTCAGTAAGAGCAAGGAACAACCACGTTCTTTAGGGTGGGGACTTTAGGGTGGGCAGGAAGGGAATCATCTGCCAACTAAGGTTGGAGAGGTCCATGGCCCTAGCAGTGCCCCTCGGTCAGATACTGCTGTCTTCCCCCCACCACAAACATATACACTGCTTGTGTCTTTCTCCCCTCTCCGGTGTGTGGGTGTGTGGGGAGAGAGATTTCTAGCTGAACTGAAAAAAAAAATGCCAAAAAAGACAGCTAGCTCCACCCAGAGACATAGATACAGAGACAGAGGAGAGAGAGACAGCAGGCCTACTGAAATCTTTGGGAGGGAAAGGGGGCCAGAAATCTTATTCAAGCATCTATGACTGTATGTGCGTGCATGTGCATGTGTGCGAGAGTGAGGGTTTATGCCTGTATGTGTGCAAGCATGTGTGTGTGTGTGTGTGTGTGTGTGTTGCTGTATGAGTGCCTGTGTGTGTGAGTGGTTGTGTCTGTCGCCATCCTGGCTGAGGCCAGCAGGGTGGGGTGAAGAGCTGGAGCCTGAGCAGCTGGAGGGGTGTGGGGAGGGGGGAATCCTAGGACTGGCTCCAACTGGGGCCACGAGTAAGAGTAGCTGGGGAGTCCCCAACTTGGGAAGGGGAGGGGAAGGAGGTGCCTTAATGCAAGAAGTCTGTATGGCAGATTTGAGGTAGGAGACCTTTTCCACGCCTCCTCCTTTATGGACTCCATCTCAAGCTTCTCAGAGCCCTCAAGCCTTTCCCCAGCACCCCAAGTCTTTTTTTCACACCCCACATCCTGGAGAGTCCATGGACCTGAAACTAAGAGGTGGCAATCAGGAGATGAGACAGAAAGTGCTCAACTCCCCAATTTCTTTTGGGGGGTCAGGACAGAGATTAGGGTAATATGACATCCTATAAAGCCTCACTCTTCACATTCCAGTCCCTGGTGAGAGACAGGTAAGGCAGGAAATCAAAGACCCTCTAAGGGGA